CCTCATGTATCTCCATTTGAAGAATAAAAAATATAGCCATCTTAATCTACTCACGACATGGTTCATCAAGTAATCTTTAAGCGTGGTTAGTCAAATATTTAAAATCTCAATTTTCAAGCACTCATCGGTATTGGTCGCAAAACTTTGCTATGTTCATCCCTATGAACAATATACTAATACTACATGACAACCTTAATTCACTACTATATTCCAAGAGTAGGATTGATTGTGGAAGTTTGAATAAAAAATTATTCTAAAAGTTGTTATAAACATGTAAAAGAAGGAACACAAATAACATGAACAAACACAGTAACTTATTATTAATAATCACCAAATCGAAATATCCAAAATGTTCCATATAATCAAACTAATAATTGTATATTCAAACCAATTCACTAGCAAATCTAATGTCAATAAAACTAGCATGAGCATAATGTTTAATTTTTTACAATAGTTTGGTAAGCGTATATGCCAAATTATCTTCTGATGGAACTCGGCTCATAATGATGTCTCTATCTTCAAGTAGTTTCCTTATAAAGTGAATCTTTCTCTGTATATGCCTTGTGCGCTTGTAATGTTGAGGTTCTTTAGTTAAAACAATTGCACCCTCATTATCACAGAAGATCTCAACATATTAGATGTTGTCTAGTGATCAAAGTGAAGTAGGTTTGACACATTAGATTATAAGGTTCGATCTTACAGACCCACCGTACTTGCTATACTATGGAAGTTCACAAAGTCCTGTCAGTGATGTGGACCAAAATTTAGAGGAACGAGAGAATGTGTTTTAGGAGTTGAATAGTCATTTACTCCATGCACAACAATTAATGAAGGCTAAGGCGGATGAGCATCTACGAGAAGTCCACTTTGAAGTAGGCGATTATATTTTTTTCTTAAGTTGAGACCATATTTGCTAGTTATTGTCTTACGTTTTGTTAATTGCAGATAGATTTACAACAATGTCAAATATTTAGACAACTTAAAATTAAGTAGACAAGCATATTAACGAGAAATCTTTGAATTCGTTACAATGCTTCGAGTAAAATTTGACTTTAATAATCTAAAATACCAAAAAATAACTTTGAAAACCAAAGACCAGTTAGTTAATTACAACAAGATTATCCCTTTTACTTATTAGATTAGTTGGGTATCAGGTAAATCTGGTTGGGTTAATCGAGTATCGGGTTAATTTCTTCGGGTATTCGAATAACTCGATTTTTTTCAGGTCAGGTAGGGTACGTTTGTTGGGTTTCGGGTATACCCAAATTACCTGAATTATTTTTTAAAAAAAATTTCTTTCGTAAAGCTTGTACTCTGTAACACGTGTTTGATCACACTTAAACTAACTATCATTATTGTAAAACATTAATCTTTTTTTATTATGGCAATATGACACCAACGGTATTAAAAGCAATTATTTATATGTCACTATGTTCTTTAAAATTTTAATTGTTTTCTAGATTATAGTTTTTACTGTAACTAAAAAACTCATTATCTTGACAAAACTTCAGAACATAGCAAAACTTATTGCTACGATTATCTTAATCATTTTAAACTTTTAAACTAAGATCTATAAGTATTTTTTGTTAATGTTTTACTAGATTAGATTAACTTGTTAAAAGATTATTTGATATCTCAAGTATTATTGACTAAAAAATCTCAATGTTCAAAGTTTGAGTAACTTCATTTATGCCTCGTTTGTTTATATAAACAAGACTAATAGAGAACGACATATTTATTTCATTAAATTTAATTTCAGTCGTAATTAAAAAAACTATTACATATTTTGGGTAATACTCGAATTACTCAAATTTAATTTGGGTCGGGTAACGGGTATTTTTTTAACATGAAAAACTTAAATTGCTCGACTCGAATTACCCAAAACCCGAAAGATTACCCGATAACACCCATACATAGTAGAGAAAATTACAAATACAACTTAATCCCTTAACTACTTTGTGGAAAATAGCAAAAATAAATTAAAAATAAAAAAATAAAATAAAATAAAAATTAAAAAAAAAAACCTCAAATTACAAATATAGCCATGAAAATCGCAAATGGGATAAGCCCATTTGCGATTTTAGCATTCAATCAACGAACGTACACGTCGCTAAAGCACAATCGTGCTTTAGCGACTTGTATGTTCGCAATTTTTTTTTTTAGTTTTTTCGTATAAATACTCCTATATCTGACTAAAATCGCAGATGAACTAAGTTTATTTGCGATTTCCTCTCATCTCACTTGCAATTTTGAACTTTTTTTAAATTTTTAAAATTTTGACTGCAAAATTGATAGGGTTTAACTACGAAACAACTTTATTATATATAACATTTTGCAAGAAATTCTCACTTTAGTTGTTATTTCTTTGGAAAATTTGTTTAAAACCTCTTTAATAAAATGAATTCTCCAACAAATAGTTTGAATTTTTAAAATGAAATCATCCATAGTGACTCCAAAGAGAGAGTTCTCCAACAAAAAGTTTGAAAAATGAAAGAAAAAAATTACGATTTTATACCTCTGAAAAAGGTGAAATCACAGATGGACACAAAATCATCTGTCCATCTGCGAACGTACAAGTCGCTAAAGCATGGATGCGCTTTAACGACTTATGGATTCACAATTGAAATGCTAAAATCACCGATGGACTTAGGGGTTGTTTGATATTACCTCTAATTGGGTCCAATAGATGACCCGATTTGAAAAAGATCTACTAGCATGTTTGATTTTGTTTTAATATCAAGGACCCGGTCCATGAAAAATGGTTGATTTGGTCATTCACTTTTAATTGATGGACTGGCACAAAAACGTGAGGTGACCTTGCCTTTTTCGATTTTGCTCTACGCATTGTGACAACCTCCACAGAAAAAAAGGCAGCAATGTTTAGCTGACTGGGTCTTCTTCCTTGGTTGCCCCTCGTTTAGTTTACACTAAAGCTTTCTCTTCTCCCTCAATCACCACACACAACGACATGTGTGCCGACTCCTCCTACCTCCAACCTACGCCTTGGGTCGCCTCCGTCCGATGCCGCTTTGCCTTAGATCCGGCCTCCTTCCAAAGGTAAGAAAAATCCTTTTTGCCCCTTCTTTGCTTACGTCACTGAATGATTTCATCCAAGCGTATTTCAGTTGAGTTCTATTTCGAGTTTTTCTTGTTAGTGATCAATTGTATTGTTATATCATGAAAGTGAGAATCATTTAGTTTAGTTTATAATTCACATATTTGTTAAAGTTTTCTTTATTTTGTCTCTTAATAACTATGATTTTGGAATTGCAGATAGTTGATGTCGTGTTAATTCATTGTGACTGTTTTCCCATAAACCATTTGATGAAAGTCCTAAGAGAAGCAAATTAGTCAAAATTAACAGAAGAAAGACATATTTGTTTAGTATTTTTTATTCAACCTTTATAAGGTTTGAATATTTCATAGCCTAGTCTTTAAGAGAATAGAAACACACAACAATAAATTACATTTGTATATACATATTATTGGTAATGTATTTGTGCTTGTGTGTTTGAGGTAATGTATCAAAGAGATTTACCTGTTACTGAATTGTATTCTCGTTCATATAATCATATCATGCTATTTTGTATTAACAACTTATGAAAGCCATTAGGGAAAAGTACATAATATTTTTTTTGGATCAATTTTGACATTATCCTTAACTTTCGATGTCAATTTTGACATTTTCTGGTTAATAAAATGGTTTATAATTACAAAGATTGGGGTTATCTTTTATCACTAATGAATCAAACAAAAGGGTTAAATCGTAACGATTGTTGCTTTGTTGTTGTTGTTGTTATGCACTTTGTTTTCCACTAAAAGCTTGATAATTTGATGTATAATAAGCTTAAGAATTTTGTTTTAAGAATTTTAATGCTCTCATGAACTAGAAAAAGTCAAACACTATACATTCACAAATTGAATATTTGAATTTATTCATGTATATTACCTTTTTAACGAAATAAAAATCGTGTTTGTGGAGCACGTGAGCTAAAAGCAAATAGGAACCAAAAGAATGTTGCTCCAAGCGTTGAATCAAGCTTTTAGCTAAAACAATGTAATTTTAATTTTAATTCCTTTAATTGTTAAATAGTATTTAATAACCTTAAATGTTTATATAAAAAATGTAATGTTATAAATTAAATGTCAAATCATAAACGATTGTTATAAACTGAATGTTTGTGGATAATATAGTAATTTGTCACAGTCAGTTAAATACACAATCAAATAATAAATTTCAATCAAAAATAATTCAGTCAGAACTTCTAATCCAGTCAGAGCTTTTATCGAGTTAGCAACTATCAAACAACTCCTTAATCCATCTGCGATTTTGATGCATATATTTGTAATTTTTTTTAATTATTTTTTTGGTACTTTCTACCAAAAGTTAATTAAAGGATTAGCCATTAGGCTACATTTTTTATTTTCTCTACATATATTAACCCTAATCTCACACCGGAGGGTTTGATTAAACGAAAAAGATAGTATTACAGTCGAAAGTGCGAGAATCTTCACTCGATCGGTACTATACATCCACTTGTTCGTGACTATTCTACGTTCATGAAACCTTAATTTAATCTGTCGATTGTTAGTATTTGTTCGCTTAACTCTCATCTATAGACATTTTTCCGGATTTAATTTCTATTTCAATGGCTATAATGTCCATTTGCGGTGTATGATGGCGTAATGAGACGTTAATGGAGTTTAGTTTAGGTAGATTATCGTAAAATTATTGAACGAATGTAAAACTAAAACTAATCCTTCTCGTTAGGGTTTTGAAATCGCGTGATGCTTTGTTTGTTTCAGATCTTGTAACTTGTATCAATGAATTATTCTATGATTTTTATGGTAAAATAGAAACCAATTTGGACATCCATCTCGTTTTGTTACGTTTTTTCCCTTATTTTTTATGGTAATTGGAATTTGAAGCACCATGAATGCGTGAAATCTTTGTTTTTGACATTGTGGATTGATTATTCTACAGACAACGTGTAGGGGAGATGGCAATGCATGGCAGTGAAGACGCAAATTCCAGTGATCACTTTGATGGTATTCTATATGATTATTGATATTACATATGTTTGTATGTTGTTTGATATCCATTTTGACGAAAGGGATGCTCTTTTTTTTTTTTGGTGAAGGGAACAACAAGCATCCGGTTTTCCTTTTAGGAGGTGACAAGACTAATGAGCGAGTGAAACTTGGAGTAAGGAGGAAGAGACGTAAAGGTTTAATGTCAAGCTTGGGGAAGCCATTTGCACTCATGAAAACATCGCGAATTAAAAAAAATGTGATTCCTATTGGAAAAGAAGTTGGTGGCTACAAGAAGGCTCAGAAGCACCAACATAGTCATTGGGATGTAAAGAAAAGGAGTCAGGGAAAGAAATCAATAGCACAACTCAGGGAATCTGAATCTGGCAAAACACATATCAAGGACCTTGTGGAATCATTTGGTTCAAAGACAGACCCTTCTGAAGATGAAGAAGATGAAGAAGATGAAGAAGATTCAGAAGATGATTTTTGTGGTATGCGAAGCCGGCGTAAGGAATGGTTCAAATCAGACCGAATTGAATATTTAGGGGGTAATCCTTTTCCTCCTCTTCATCCGGATTATTTTGCGGAACCGGAGATGGGTTAATTTTGGTAGGAAAAGTGAGTTGATGTCACTTTTTTATTATTATTATTATGATTATGATGATGATGATCATCATCATGTGTTTTTTTAGTTGATGCATATGTTTTTAGTTGCAACAAATGTAAACTAACCCATAATCCTTTTTGATCAATCATGTAGGTTTTATATGATCCAACTCCAACGTCACACGTGAGCTTGCTTGCTTTCTTGTTCCTCTAAATCTATAATTTGTGTTATTCAGAATGTAATGAAAAGCTTCTTGATGTGTAATTAAACCAGGAGAGGAATATAAGACTGCAGTTGGTGAAAACTACTCTTGACCATCACCTTAAAAAAACTAACTCATTTGGTTTGGTTTATTTTGGCTTGATAAATGTCTAGTTTCTTTACTTCTCCTCAAAGTAGTTCTTTACTAAAAAAAAATTCGTTGCTATTTTTGGTCAAATATTTAGATTTATCCTCGTATTGTGAGAGAATTATGTTTTTGGGTTTTTAATGGACCTTATGTTGAGGTATGAGGGGTTAATGTGCGAATTTAACATTTTTCTTTATAAAAACATCATTTGTTGATAGCTGAATGAAATGAACAGTAGAACTTTTTAGATCGTATCAATCTTAATTCTCTCCCATCTTATGATTTTTTTTTTCAATGGAACTGGTCTTATATCGGCAGGGTTTACCGATGTAAAAACGACCATCATATCTTATGTAACAACGACTATCATATCTTGACAATTTTTCTTTAATAGTTAGCCTTAAAAAAGAAATGACTGGGTAGTTAATTTAACAATACCCTATAAGGCTTACATTTAAAAAAAAAAAAAAAAATTAAAGCTTACATTTTTCAGAAAAAATTATGATCGACTAAAAGCGAAAGCTTTTGATACTTTTGACATAGAACAAATTAATAAAATTGTCCTTACGGTTTTGCTGAATTTGTGTGTTTGGTCCTTAGGTAATTTTTACACTCGAACAATCCTTAATGTTAGATTTTATTGTGTTTTTTTATCCCCAATAAACTTAAAATGTCCATCATACCCTTATCAATTTCTTTTTTATTTACATATTATATATTTATCACTTATGAAATTAGAAAATAAAGTGGGTCCAACCCACCTATACCCCCTTCCCTTTCATCTTTATTTTCCCTTTTTTCTACCTGTTCCACTTTTTCATATCTCCCCTTCTTGATAAACGAGATCCTCGACAATGTTCTAACGATCATGATGATGATATCTTTTATCTAACACTAGCTACCCTTCTACTACTCTGTTGCCTAAAAGCTCACAAGAAATCAATCGCCATAGTTTTCGGAGATCAACCTACTCCCTCCGCTTCTATGTCGCTAGCAACCTCATAAGAAATCGACGCCATAGTTGTAGAAACATAAACCTCAAAGAAACCCCTAATAATCCCTAGTTTTCTCTCACCCTCATTACACCCACGCCTTCACTTCACCTACTACTTCCATCGATGCCTCTGCCCCTTCCCCCTTCAAACCAACAGTGCCTTGTCCAACTTCCTGCATCGGCAATACCGGTCAAACTTGCAAATCAATTTCTCACAGCTTATGTACAACAAAACCCTTTTATTTCGATCTAAAATTCACCGTTGGAGGTTACCAACGGTGGTTATGAATATCTTGAAAATCTCGATCTAATTTTTTTTTGTTCTACATTATATGTTTTCGGGGTACCCACACAATATGGTCACATCTATTATTGGTAAGATTGAAAGCACATTGTTGTAATCAAGAGTTTTAGTAAAGTACATTGTTATTTCTATCAAATGTAGGATCTAAAAAAGTTTCATAAATTAAAAAAGTCAGGATATAGTATAAAAGTCAAATTGTAGCAAATAGCAACAAAAATCCCCCTTACATCGATATAGCCAATATCCTTAAAAATTTGTTCCCATAATAACAACTTATTTATGATTTCTCACACGTATATCATGTTAAAGTTTTAACATGTTGAATTGATAATTGACTACCTTTTTATTTGTGTTTCAATGTTTTTGCTCATATCACATCCAAAGACTACCCTTATGGAAGTTATATTTGATGGGTTTGAGCCATAAGAACTTTCCTATGTGCACATGCAAACCCTAATGCTTGGATCTAGGTTTCTCTAATTGAACATGCAATGTATCCAAGACTTCTAATGATAGATCTAGTATAATAACATAAGAAAACAGATCCAAAGGAATACCTTGAGTTGCTTGCTTTAATCTTCTTGTCCTTGGAGCTTAGAGTCACAATTGTCACTCCTCTAATGGCTTACAAACACCAACTAGTAAGAGGATGATAACAGAGAGAGAGAGAGAGAGAGAGAGAGAGAGAAGGGTGAGAAAATCGGCCAGGGTTTCTTCAAATGCAAGAGTGCCGATTTCCTCAACCCTATGGGTGTATTTATACTAGTGAGCCTCCTAGGGTTTCACCATTAAAACCCTAATTGGATAACTTAGGCCCTAAGCAATCCAATATCCTTAATGATAAGCCTTGGACGATTTCTAGGCTCTTCCAAACCCTAAAATCATCCACCCCCCCCCCCTATCTATAAGGATTCACTGCTCAAAATACAACTATCATACAATTTATAGTTTATGCCCCTTTATTTAATTAATCTCTTTAAGTCACCAAATTAATTCATAATTAATTAATGACTTATATTAATCAAATAACAATAATATTTCTTCTCTCATTATAAATCATCCTGTCAAGTTGCTATGGTGAAGCCAACCCAAAAGGACCATGCTCAATCGGGTCAAGTACTTACCAAATATAGTTGCAGCCTTAGACACTATTCCAACAGTCTCCCACTTGGATATGTCTAGTAACTATATATACAAATACAAACCGATTAACAATCGTAGCTCTCAAAGACGCTGTCAAACTCTGATCTTATCAGTCTTGTCCTTTAGATAAGGGATCGTACAATCCTTTGTTAAGATATTATGCAAACAATTCTATGGAACCAATTGTCCAACAGTTGGTTTCTCGAGCTCAAATTTATTTGAAATAGAACTTAATCGAACACATCAATTTAGTTCTGACCGGGCCCGACACATAAGTCAAATCAAATCATCGAGTAACCGAGATATCGCTTTTACCCTCTTATGATAAAAGTAACAGATAAACTTCGACTTATATGCATTTACTTATTCATTAATCAATCATACACAACAATGCGTTTTATAACATCAATTTACTGATGCGGTTTCGCATTATCAATGTACAACCAATTAACAAATAACAAACCATATATCTAGGTTTTAAGACCATATGATATTATCGTCTTGCAATCAACCTTTTTCATCAAATTCCATAAGGTGATTCCAGCAAGCGCGGGTTTGTTCCAATGCTCAAAACTAGTTCATAAGCACTCATGAACGTTGCAGCAAACTTTTACTATGTCTAATACCATTTAGACAATCTACATACAAATTCATGACAATCTTCATTCATACCTACTTCCAACATATGAACGATTGTGGATTATTTGAATAATTCGATTATTCTAAATAAACTCAATTATTCTGGAAGTCAAAACATGCAAAGTGAAACAATAGTTAAACATTTAACATAAGACAGTAACTTTACTTATAAATAATACTCCTTTATTTATTCATCAAATGTTAAATTACATTTATCTATTACGAGTTTCTAAAATTATCTAATCTAATCTAATATCATCTTTCAGTTCAATACTCCTAGCATGCTGCAAATGCTTAACCCTATTCAGTCCCTTCGTAAGCGGATCTGCTGGGTTATCTTCTGATGATATCCTCCTGACCACGAGGTGTCCTTCTTATACTCAATGTCTAATAAAATGATTGTTTCTGTCGATATGACGAGATCTACCATGATCCCTTGGTTCCTTGGTCAAGGCAACCGCTCCTTCATTATCACAGAAAATTTCCATAGGCTCCTTTATGGCAGGTATAACTCCAAGATCACCAATGAAGTTCTTCAACCATATTGCCTCCTTCGACGCTTCGCTCGCTACAATGTACTCTGATTCGCACGTTGAACCAGCTACGATATCTTGCTTGGAACTTTTCCAAGTTACTGATCCTCCATTAAGGGTAAAGACCCAGCATGACTGCGAACGGTAGTTGTCCCTGTCGGTCTGGAAACTGGTGTCACTATACCCTCGCACCTTTAAGTCATCACTCCCCCCGAGGACTAAAAACCATTCCTTGGTTCTCCAAAGGTATTTAAGGATATTCTTGACCGCAATCCAATGGGCTCTGCCAGGCTTCCCTTGATATCTACTAACCATGCTCAAAGCAAAGGCCACATCAGGGCGAGTACAAGTCATAGCATACATGATTGAGCCAACTGCGGAAGCGTATGGTACTCGGCTCATTTCTACTATTTCGGCTTCGGTACTCGAACTTTGAGTCTTACTCAACTTGGCATTACTTTGTATCGGTAATTCTCCTTCTTCGAATTTTCCATACTAAAACGTTTCAGTACTTTATCTAAGTAAGTGTTCTGACTAAGTCCTATTAGTCTCTTACTTCGTTCTCTCACTATCCTTATTCCTAAAATATAGGAAGCCTCTTCGAGGTCCTTCATAGCAAAGCACTTCCCGAGCTAGAACTTAACCTCCTGCAGTGTCGGGATGTCATTTCATATGAGTAGTATGTCATCGACAAACAGAACCAGGAAGTTGACTATACTCCCACTGGCTTTGACATATACACATGATTCATCTTCGCTTCGTACAAATCCAAAGTCTTTGACTTTCTCATCGAAGCAAAGATTCCATCTGCGAGACTCTTGCTTAAGTCCATAAATGTACTTCTCAAGCTTACATACTCTATTGGGATGCTTCGGATCAACAAAACCCTCTACCTGAGCCATGTAAACATCCTCATCCAACTTCCCGTTAAGGAAAGCAATCTTGACATCCATTTGCCAAATCTCATAATCATGAAATGCGGAAATAGCTAGCATCACCCTAATAGACTTTATCTTCGCAACTGGTGAGAAGGTC